ACTACTTGGGTGATGCAATTGTTTGTTATGTCAATGATGATATCAAATGTATCACATAATAATCATGACCATCATGAATATTTGATGGATGGAGGCATTCACATACAAGGAAATGAAGGAAATGATTAAATAGCTAAGTCATGTTTGTTTTATTAAAGATATGCAATTAATTATATTTAAAATTCTTTTATGCTAATTTAAGGTTCCATTTTTCTTTGCTTATATATAATCTATTGGTTCTCTTTTTACTGGTTTATATATGTGTTAAGGGAAAAATAGTGTAACCGTTATTTTCAAAAAACCCCCACATTCATTAAAACACCAAGTTGAATTTTATATTTTATATTTTTACACAATGTCACATAATAAATTATTATCATCGTTATCACAAGAAAGAAAAGAATTTGTATATAAAATTGATAATGAAATGTATAATAATGCTCTGGCTAACTCTGATGAAGAAAGTAGAAAAGATTATTTTTTTTTGTTGGTCAAGAAAAACAATGAGCTTTCTGAAAATGAAAAAGAATATTGTAAGGAAAATTTTATTTATTATTTTGAATTAGGTAATGAAAGAGAGAAAGGGGGAAAACCAAAAGAGTGTAATAAGTGTAAATTGACAATATACTCTGATAGGTTCTGTGAAGGTTGTATTAGTTTACAATTACAGAGTCTTTTCACCACTTGGACATCTGAAAATAACATAGTTGACAACTTTATTCAACAATGTCAAATGAAATCATCTCTGCCAAACCATATTTTAGAGTGGATACCTTTTGAGCAATTCATAAAAGTAACAAAGTTGACTGAAGGTGTATTTAGTTCAGTTTATACTGCTACATGGACAAGAGGAGTTATTAATGATTATGATGAAAATAAAAAGGAATTTAGTTATTTTGGAGGGCAACTAGTAGTATTAAAAAGTTTAAACAATTCAAGCAATCCAGGAAAGGCCTTTTTTGATGAGGTTGGTAGTTGTCATTTAAAACAATAATGTATTATATAATGCTAATTGATTTTATTTAATTACAGGCAATGAATTATTCTAAAATTAAAGCACCATTGATTGTTCAATGCCATGGTATAACCAAATTCCCAGATATTGGAAATTATGCAATAGTTTTAAATTATTTAGAGGGAAATTTAAGGGATTATTTACAAAAAAATCATCATAATTTAACATTAAAAGACAGAATGACAATATTTTATGAAAAAGATTTAATCCATTGTGATTTACATAGTGGTAATATATTATTGCAAGGAGGTGGTTGTTATATTACAGATTTGGGATTGTGCGGACCAGTTGATGAAAAATCATCAAATAAAGTCTATGGAATTGTATCTTACATTGCACCTGAGCTACTTAGAGGTGAAATTAATGTAAAGAACACAAAAGAAACAGATATCTATAGTGTTGGGATGTTAATGTGGGAAATATTTGCAGGCCATCCACCATTTGATGATAGAGCTCATAATTATCATTTAATTTTTGATATATATGAAGGTTTACGACCACCAATTTTACCTGAAATGCCTGATGATTATGTGCAAATGATGCAGAAGTGTTGGGATGTGGATCCATCAAAAAGACCAACTAGTAGAGAACTTTATGATTTAGCTGATGAAATATTAAAAGAAATTTATGATAATAATAATGATAATAATAGTGTTGGAAGTAGTATCAGTAGTAGTAATAATAATAGTAATAATAGTAATAATAGTAATAATAGTAATAATAATAATAGTAATAATAGTTTAATAAAAAGATTATTCAAATTTTCCAAAATTAAAAATCATGATAGCAGCAGCAGTGGTGGTGGTAGTAATTCGCAACAGGTACACAGATCACATCCGAATGCACATCATACGAGTAGAATATTAGATGAAGAGATTGCTAAATCTAAAATCTTAAGTGATGATAGTTCATTAAATAGTCTTGGTTTTAGCTCTCTTCTCTTAAATGCCGAAGGTGAATAAAATTTCATTATTAATTAATTGGAATTATTACTAATAATTTAATTGATTAATAAACATTAAATTCTAGTAATAATAGTAAAAGGAAGAATTGATGAACAACTAATGTAAATTTATCTATCATAATTATTTATATTTTTTGTTTTTTATTTTGTTTTTTAAAGCTAAATTATTTTGAAATAATAAAATTTTTACAGTTTTTTGATTCTTGTTAAATAGTGATATTACAAAGTATCATCTTGGTTAATTAATAATCATGAATTAACTTTTTGTCGATTAATTCAATGCTTGCACCTAGACAAATTTGTAAGCACATTTAATGGTATCAGATAATTGTAAATAAATAAAGATGGCTCTTTTACATAGCTCAAGGGCTTCTATAAAGGTTCTTTTTTTTTATTCACATGTGATCGATTTATTTCAATCGTTTACATTTATTGGCCGATTGCAAACTCGCTTTTGTTTATTTGCGAAAAACTCAAGTAACTTGTTTAACTTATGTTTAAATTACAAGTATTTCCGATTAACCTTTGGACGATACGATACTTCATTAACACTCATTATTTAACCGATGTTAATCCTAACCTTGCTTGCTCACTAAAGCAAATAAAACGTGACCTTTTACCAAAGCTCCATAATTGTTGCCTTTTATCGAGGCACTAACTACACTTGTTGCTTTTATCAAAGAAAGAAAATAAAGACAACTTTTTGTTTTTAAAAGTTTATAAATTTATCATAAAGTTTTATTTTATTGGAATGTTAATTATCTCTGCTTTTTCAAGAAGTTATTACATTCCCTTCTCATTTCAACAAATCTATGCCCTTTATGTACAAGTAGGTACTGTATAGATGCAGAATGAACACTCACGGAAAAATACAGTTTTTGATACCAATACTAATACGGAAAATGTACTTTTCTTCATTTTTTTTTGAACAATTTCTGTATTTGTACTTTCCATATTAGTATTAGTATTAGCATGGCTTCTGTGTATTAAATACATTTTTAATACGGGAAAAATCTACTTTACGCCGTTTTCGTATGTTTAGGTACTACAAGCATGGGAAAGTTCATTTTTCCGTATGTATATTTCGTATTAGTATGTAATTTTTACAAGATGGGAAATATAAGAAAATTGCACTTTAATGAATTTTATATGTGAGACAAAAATTTTAAAAATTTATTGTTAATCATAATTCGTATAAACTCTGAAACAAAAATATTTGTATGTATTAGATAATATATCTATCCAAATTTATGATTCGTCGAGTCAATTTATTTATATATTAGATAATATATATTGGTATCAAAAGCACGATTTGTACTCGTATTCGTTTCTAACCGGTTTTGATTTTATTGAATTTACAAACCACTTTTTTTTGGGTTAATAATATAAGATGAAATTCATGTTTTATAAGACGTTGCTTATCATAATTCCATTAGTGGGTTTAATAAACTTTGTAATATGATTTAAATATCACTCACTAATTAGAAAATAATTTATTATAATAATGATAGTCTTCCCTTTCCAAGTTGGGAGGAGATGTACATTTAGAGAGATTTGACTATCTGACCTTTGTAAATTTTAATCAAAAATAAGCATGCAAATTGAGCATTTGGGCTTTTGTTAATAAGTTGGCTAGCAAATCAATACCCTATTTACTACCTATATAAGAATAGCTCGGATTCTAATGAATAATTTTTTTGTTTGATGACCACTAAAAAACTAAAATTTAATTGGTCATCTTCATTATATACGAGTTGTTATTAAAGAATTTCTAAAGCTCACAATACAAACATAACAGGTTTTATCTGTGATTGGTCTATCCATAAAGGATAATTTATAATATGTCAATGTTACCAAAAAAACTTTAGTATTGCTTTCAAGACAATAAAATAAATAGATTCTTTGCAATATTTTTTTTTAATTTTTTTTATTTGTAATTGGTAATAAATAATCCGGGCAAAAAAAAAAAAATCTCTTGATATTACAATGTAATAAAGCATGTCTATGGTTTGAGACAGCATAAATATCCTATATCACAAGATGGCTAATTCGAGAGGGAGAAAAGCATATCACATCCATAAAATAATACGTTGAAACCAATAAACGTACCATTTACTCACTATCTAATGAATGAATATTAAATAGTAAAATAAATTATAATTAAAATTTGTTCATGCGTTCAACAACATCATTCATTACTCATAACTTCTTTTGGTCCAATAATCCTTTACATTATTTATAACTATGAAATAGTGCAAGTGTTATATGATTAACGTTTATAAATGTACCTTCTAGCTTTTACAACAAAAAACAATTTAAATAAATAAATAAAATCGAATTATTTCAGAGAGAACGCACAATTTACCAAATGCGAAAAAGTCTTGGCAAAATTATTATTATATTAATATATATATAAAAATAGAAGGTGGAAATCGTATTATATCGTTATTATTATATTTGTTGCACCCAATGCCGATCATTTCTTAAATTGAATACCCTCTGTGTTCACAATACATGGCAACGATTAGGTAAATATTATCAAAATTTTAATTCGCGCGACCTCGATGATCTTTTTTATATACGAAAATTTAATGAAAAATATTTTTTAATTGTAAAAACTCGGTAATGCATTTATAAGTCATTGTGATCTCTGGCATACTTTATGGCCATCAATCACGTGACAAAATGATGAATTTAACCCGATCAAAATCTAAGATGCCACTTTAAAACGTCATATCTTGGGTTATCCAAAATACCTCATCAAGATCTATTGTTTGTTTGTTAAAAGTTACACGCATTGTCAATTAAGATGATTTTATTTTCTGAAAAAAAAAAAAATCCATTGTATCATAGTAAACATAGTGAACATAAAAACATAAAATTAATGCAACATATACTCTCTGACTTGATTTTCTTTGTTTGCCATAAAATACATATGGAGAATGAGAAAAAACACATAGAAATATATTTAATTAAAACTTACTACATAATAAAATATTCTTATAAAAATTTGAACTTAAAAAAATTAAAAAAATCCTGGTAATTATTACTAAAAAATATTTTTTCATATCAGACAATCAATCAAAATATAAAACAATGTAGAATTCAATTAATATTCAATCGATTAATTAATCATTTAACACATACCATTTATTATATCTTTTAAGAAGAGGATTTGCTTTTTAACAATGAAATGATTGTTGATTTTTCTGTTCTTGTCAATAATTCATTTTCTAAAATTGCTTGGCAAGCAGCCTCCCAATCTTGTTGTGTCTTTTTTAGATATGCAATTTCACATGCCTCTCTAACTGCCATGGCAACTACTCTGGTGCGGCTTGCATCATCTTCGATAATGATATTTCTATTTTGATTTGACATTGTTGTTATTTTAATAATTATAATAATTATACACGATCTTACATATCAAAAATCTTTAACTATTTATACAAAAGAGAGGAATATAATCTAAATTACAGATAAGAAAAAAATCTAGATATCATTCATTGCCTTTATTATTTTGTGATACTAATCTGTTAACAATTCCAAATTTTCCATCAAATAGATTGATCTAGACCTTCTTTGTGTCACTCATTATTCAGACAGAGTTGATGGGATTCACGTGATGCTGTGCATTCTCAAAGTAAATTCTAACCTTTTTATTTCATACAAAAATTCAAAGTTTCTTATTGTATATTCGACGCATGGTTTAACTCGCACAACATTCAGTAAAGCTACTCGCTATTTCACAAAGATTTCTAGTTATTTGTTAAAAATCTCTCGTTATTTATTTAGTAGAGCATTTAAAGTTCAATACAATATAAAACTCCTATACCATTATTTGTTTGTTTGTTTATTCTAATTATATAACAAGATTATGTAACTATATAACATTAAGACAAATCGGTGATTTATGATGAGTCGTAATCTATAATATCAATATCAATTTGAAAACCAATTACGGCACACAAACTACGTAATGTTATTAACAATATAATTTATTCTATACGTTTGTTGATATTTTTACTGCTAAGGAAAAAGCCATTCAACTGGACATTATTGTTGTGAAAAAAAAAAAATTCTTTTTATATTCAATTCAAACAAATTTTATGTGCTCGACCGTGAGAATGTTTTTTATATCATCAATTTTCGAGTAAAAGTACATTTATAATAAATATCTATAAATTCAGTCGTCGCGCAGCATGCACATTAATAATGTACTGCGCGTCGATCGAAAGGGTTATTGTTTTTTAAAAACTTGCGTACAAATAACTTTCTTCCAGGGAATGTATACATATTATATATAATAATTGCTGAAATTTATTTAATAGAAAAGCAACCTACAATGCTTTACAACAACACAGATAATCAATTAAACTCTATAAATATCAAAAAGAATAGCGGAAACGAAGAATGGGGCTTGAAACCCATTCATTAATTATTCCTTGGAATAAAAATATTTGTTATAACGTTGACATACAAAAAAAAAATTAATATTTGTTTTAAGCATCTAATTGGATAATCTTTCGCATAATTCAAACGATAATGTTGGTGTCGGATTCAGACAACAATAATAACAATAATAACAAAAATCTTGATATTGCTAAGAATGTTACGAAATAAATCGAAAACATGCCAACAAATATTTCTCTTCTATTTCTTCTGCTTCTTTTATTTCTAATTTTACATCTGAGGGGCTCTTTTCAACTTGCTTAAAAATCGGCGACAGGGTATGAAACGATGGATAGGGTTGTGTAAAACAACTCAATGCACAAAAATGCAGGGGAATGAATAGGGGCGGGTGAATCCCAAATTTATTTTGAACCAATAAATTGATATATAGTTTTTTATCACTGTCAAAAAATTTTACGCACTACATGTTACTCATTCCCCATTCAAAAATAAATGTTGCGTGCGTGAAAATCAAATTTGCGTCAATTTGATTAAATTTTGGGGTGGGCGTTTGAATCAATGTGTAAAATTGAACGGGCGCAACGAACGTGTGTAACATTAATAACCAATCAAATTTTGAATTTCTGGAGATAGTTTCTAGATTTATATATACTAGTTACACGACGAAATTTACTCACTGGTTTGAATACAAAATTCTGATTGGCTAATTTAAATTTCACGCGTGTGTGAATTTCAAATTGACGCAGATTTCAAATTCACACACAACATAAATAAATTCGGTGTGAAGAATTTTAAAATATACATTCTATATATTAACGTGTGATATTATTACTCCAGAAAATAAATTCTATGCCAAAAGTAATAAATTTGCTTATACTATACAAAAAATAAATACTTGCCATACTTTATTATTATCCTATTGATCCAGTTGTTAAATTTAACCCAATAAATTTTTATCGGAAAATGTATGGTTTCTCCATACATTTTCCGTGCATTTTGTGTGTAATATGTACGGAATTATACATAAAAAATGTACTTTTCCTTACATATTTGTCCTGAAAATGTTCTGAAAATACATTTCCATGTACTCTATATACATTTTCTAGGGCAAATATGAACGGAAAACGCTCTTTTAATGTATAATCCCGTACATATTCCATACCGAATATGCGTAAAATTTATGGAAAAACCATAATAATACATTATCTGACAAAATCCTTTATAGGGTTGATGTGTGTACAACGGAAATTGCAGTTGAGTATCCTCCAGGAGGTATATTTGACGGCGGGTTCTCTAACTGGATGGAGGGTTAATTATGAACACTGGAAGGCCCAATCTGTTGCATCCAGTGAAAGGTTGCGATGGGTGTGATCTTCTTTTGTAATATTTCCAAAGTTCCACCAGAAACCATTAAGAAAATGGGATTGATCACAAGAAATAGGAAATACCAATTATAAATAGTCTTGCTACTTCTTGGTATCCTGCTCCTTGTGTTTAAATTCTATCTGTCATTGGTCTGAGCCTTCGTTCTTGACTGTCTCTTGATTAATGGTGATTGATGCCAAACACGTAGTGCACATAAACTTTTCATGGCTACAATTGGCACTTTACGGTCCAGGACTGGGTGGATTGGTAATTACCCAGCTTGAGCACTATCCTAACATGTGAGTCACCTTAGATAAATATATCAATGTCAGGAAATTATACTTTAAAATAAATACACTAATTCATTAAATTCAAGATATGTTTACATCACTCGGAGGAAAACTCAGATGGGTAATGGTAGGTTTTCATATAAGAAGCTACAGGGTGCAAAATATGTGATCAAAAATATCAGGAGAATGCCCGGGTTGGGAAAATCTTACCAGAAATCTTCAAAAAATATCTGACCAAAAAAAATTTTCTTAAATAATAATAAGTATATTCACATTGCTAATATTTTATCAATCTATTTCCTTCATAGACCTTGTATATAGTGATAATAATAATAAATAGTGGTAACAGAAGTAATTGACCATTTTATTTTATTTTTTAAGTCATAGTACTGGTAACCATAGCAGTAGTAACATAGATTATAAATATAACTATTGAGATTTTACAATCCCTTAACAATAACAACAATCACAATATAGAATTTGTTGCATCAACTTGTGAATTAATATTTAACATTTTCTAAAATGAATAAAACGAATAAAAAGATGTAATTTGAATAAAATGAATAATTCAATAAGAAATTATATTAGAAACAACAAGTAAAATTTTAATCTAAAAATTTATACTGTAATTTTATAGGATTTCGCACACTGGTGTCACTTGACGATAATCACAAATTATAAAAATAGTCAAGATTCGTTTTTGCTATTTATGAATTCGTCACTACTACTTGAAAAGTTTGTCAGGTACAAGTCCTTTACGAAGCTAAATTGAAGGAAGATGATAAAATGATAACATTAATAGTAGATGACATGATCATATAAAGATAGATGGCGACAACAAAGTTTGTGAAAGGAAGAGTGGATTTTTTGTCGAAAGGTTATTTTACTATACAAACCATTGACGATATACTAACGTTTCTGTCAAAGAAAAGAACAAAGTTAACATTAGTAGGAACATCTATTATTAAGAAAGGTGAAAGATGAAGAATTGGTCTAGCTGCTGCTTAAGCGAGGACTCGGAATTTTTTAATTGAGGTTCCAGACAATTACGTGGTTTTAAATTTACCCTGTTAATATTTTTTTAACACTATTTATTAAATTTACCCATTTTAAGCAAAGTTATTAAAAATTCCATTTACATATTAGTGATTGATTGTTTACATGATAATCAATATTTATTACATTGTTTTTTCTTTTAGAAATGGATGATCAACGGCCTGATATGGATCGTGTGGTTATGAACAAGAGCCTAGAATGCTGTTGATTTGTGTCTTATTAGTATTATTATTATTAATTTAATAAATAAGCTTTCCGATGGATTATTCTATTACATTGTGTAATTATTGAGTTATTCATTTCCATAATAATAAAAATCAACAAACATAAATGCATGATAATCTATCAATAGCATTTCTTAATCTATTAACTTCCGCCTCCCAATTCATACTTTACAATAATTTTGGCAATGAAGAGTTGGAAACAAGTAAATCTAATGGACTAGTTGAAATATTTACTACATCCAATATCAAAACAGAGAGTTTCTTTATATTTATCAATAATCTAATCTACTTCACATCATCATTCGTCTTAATCAATATTATAATTCCACATTGCTATTTTTCATGATGTTGGAATTGCGTTTTTTGTTAAATTCATATTATAATTATAACTTTTGACTCTCAATGTGTGTAAATTCTCTCGTATTTATATTCCATTAAGAAAGATTAAAAGGTGATATAACTATTAAAGCTAGAAAAGTTTACTCTTAAACTTATGGGAACGAGCTCAATAAAACTTCCAAAGACACGGGGTTAGGAAAATCGAAATTACAAATGAGAGAATGATATTTATTATATTATGCTGCTTTTAAATCCCGTTTCTATTTGAGGCCAATTATATTTAAAATTTCGAAAAAAAACATTTCATAAATGTTCATTCAATGAATTATAGGAAATGAATGATATTATTATATATAATCTAAGTTGTAATAATTAATTATATTATTGTTATTTAAACATTAAAATAAATAAGATGTCAATAGAGTAGGAAATTGCTATACAAAAAAGTCTTTGTTTCCAATAAAATTTCAACTTGAATTGGATTAAAAAATTTTTTTTTCAATAATATTAAATTTGAGTAAAACTTCAACAAAAACAATAATTTATATATGATAATCCAAGTCGTATATTCCTAATGCAAATCTTGGCCATTTCATGATCGTATCTTCCTCTCTATCTTTTAGGCTTTTTGATGTTTTACAGAGAACAAGTCTCTCGTTTTTATGACAACCCTCATTATAATGTGGTTACTACT